TGAGGCGATGGCATTAGCTCTGTGCACTAAATTCAGCCTTTTTCCTTCCCACTAAAATTTATAAATATTTTTTTAATATAATACCCTGTCCATGTATCTTTTACCTCATTACAGTTTTGGAGGCTTAAAGCTTTGGGACCTCTTCCTAAGAATAGAAAAAAAATTATCAAAGCAATTTGTAAACGGAACCTTCACATTACTTTTATTATTTATTTTTTTTTCCAGTGAGACATATTAATGAGCAACCTTGATGATAAGGTTCTATATTTTGCCACCAATTCAAAGGGATCATTCATCTAAATCTGTTGTCCATTGGATTTTTGTTTAATGAAAAGTTTGCAGATGAATAAAAGATCGCCAATGAGCTTCACAGATTGTCCTGTTCATGAAAAATTTCAGTGTAATCGCATACGGCCCCTTCCAAAACGTTGTCATGACTCTTAGACTTTCTTACGTTTCGTGACGCCAAGTTCATGAAGGCAACAGATTTTACTGACAATGTTGCAGATGAACACAAAGCAGCACAAAATATTTTTATGTTGCATGTAGTCAAGTTGCATGGGTTTCATTAATTCTAATATAAATTCCAGTTCAACCAGGTGCCTTCAGAAGTAACATGTCTAGTTATGTGAAAAAATGTGCAAAAGTTCAAGTACAGTGCCTTTTCAAGGTACTGTAATTTTTTTTTTTTTAAGTTTACAATAACTCAAAGGAATGACTGAGATACTGAAATTGAAGACACGTGTTTGACTGTGTTCAGTTAACATACGCCTACTAACCTCCATTGTGTTTCACCTCCAGGGAGCCACACCAACATGAAGACATCATTTCTCATCATTTCTTAGCATAAATTCATGGAAATGTCAGTTAATTTGAGGTGGGGCCTTAACTTGGACTATTTGCAAAACAACAGAATTGACTAGTTTCCCATCCCAGTTTTTAAGGCAAATTTGAAAGACATTCATATGCACATTCTGTTTAGCTAGAACTTGCACAATTTTAACTTCACTAAGGTCTATTATCATTTCAGAAAACAAAAATCTGGTATTCCTATAAAACATTGTACAGCAATTATATATAAATGCATCTTAGAAAAATTGTCATTTTAAATGTCACTTAATGAACAAATGTTTCAATTTAGGTAAATAACTGCTGATACAACAGGGATGTCTTTCTATGAGCATTGCTTTGTAGAACTGCATCAGAAAAAGTTCAATTAAGTATTTTAGGTATTTTTGAAAAATAATCCAGATTTTTTTTTTTAAATGCTGAAATTTGACTTTTTAAAAGTTTTGTTTAAATTTTTCCTGAAGATTTTATACTAAAGACTATGAAAGACCTCCCACTGGTGGATTGCATTGCAAATAGCTAACCATGTTTCCATACTGTAGACCTTGATTACATTTTTGTTGATGTTATAGCGAGTCAAACTTGTACAGAGAGACCTGAATATATATGTAGGAAAAGATGCAAGAAAGTACAGACGGTTTGACGAACTGGTTTTTGTCCCCATAAAAGAGTTGGGTTTGCAAAAGAGCACGGTAAACAGCACCCATCCGGATTCACAGTACGTGTTGTTGTTTTTTTCATCTGCTTTTCTAGCTTTTAAGGGTGTTTGAAAAACCCTTGAATGGTACATTACTCCCACCTAATAGACCTATTAGATTATGTGAGTGTGAATGAAATTCATGTTAATGATTGCAAACACTTCGATACAGCTCATCATTGTGAAGTTTGTCTCACTATGCTGATGCTCTCACCATCTGGCTTCATCTGGTGAAATGAGATCGAGTATCATAATGATCCCCGCATATGAAGCTAAACACCCTAAGTTTAAAACTCCTTTGAATCCATGTTTGTGACTCTTAATTTGGAAATAAGAGAGGAAGCAGTTCTCGGGTTTTGTTGTTTGACAGAGTTGGCCAATGAAAAGACGGCTGGTCCAGCTGACCGGCAGCGTTCTGCAAAAAAGCATTGAGGACGACTCCGTTACTTTTATAACATTTGTGTGTGAACGAGTTGGGTACCTGGTTAAGATAAAAAAATAAAAAAAAAAACACTGACAATTTTAGAGAAAGAATAAAGATTGACTTTAAGCACTGAAGGAATAGCACAACTTGCTGCTAGCAATAAAACTGACATCTGCCTCTGATTTTCCTATTACCCTAAACCTGAAGGGATGCTTGGCTGTTTTGGACGAGTCTCGACGGCGTTTGATCACCTCTAGTTCGACGCCAAATATTTACACTGATGTGGGTAATGCCACGCTGAACAGAGATTATCCATAACACAATTTTTTTATTTATTTATTTTTTAAACATGTTCAATGTTTTGTTTTGTTAAGAGGATTTAATCCATAAAACACGCTGTGGGATTTGCAAAACCTTTACCACAACTGAGAAAAAGATAAAAATGGGGATTCTTATTTTTTTTCCCCAAAACATTGACGAAAATCTGACGTACTGTTGTCTTCTAGACTTTTAAACTAGGTCGATCATTATACCCCTATTATCTAGTTGTGACATCATATAGTTGATCTCACCTTGTAAAACTTAATTTTCACATAAAGATGTGTGCCCCACCAGTACTTTATTGGATGGAATGATATCCAAGACATGTGTACCTCACAGGCCTGGCAAACACCCTTGCACCATGAGCAACAATGGCACTGCCTTTTAGGGACACATAATAGAAACAGTGCCTTTAACTATCATGCTGTTCCAAGTGCTGTATAATATTCTGGCATTGTATTCAAACTCGAAAGAAGCGCACACACACACACACAGAGAGAGAGAGAAATAGAGAGAGAAAGACTCCCAAGCGCAAACAACAATCTCAAGGATGAAGCACACCTCTTTCATCAGCTCTACTGCTATTCCTGTTTGGAGAACACTGCAGAGGCCCTATAGCTGTAGGCTGCAGAACAACTTTGTGCCAAGAAGTCATCACTGAGCTAAACTCCCTCAAAACACCTTCCAGATATTACCACCTTTTCCTCTGCTACACCACAATCTCTCAAGACTGGACCACTGTTCTTGCGGAGAGTAACTGTTGTTGACTTCACGCTTGAAGGTGGAGCCGGTGTGAGATGTTTCACAACGTATACATTTGTTTTTTTTTTTTCTTTCTATGTCAACATGCAGCAATAGACTCAAAAGCAAAACGCCACATTTTTCAGAATTGTATGTTATGTTGCAGATTTTATATTTTTAAGAGGGCGTGGCGCAGAGATAAAGTCTACAGAAAGAAAGAGAGGTTGAATCTCGTGGGGCCTCACATTGCCAACAGAGGATCACATTTTTTGTGTTTTGTTTTCTCTGAATTTAGCACATGGTAACAGTTCAGATGCTATCTATCGGTTTGGAGACGGATACGTGCGCGTACTAAAACCACCAAAATGCTACGTCAAACTGTTCCAATGGTTTGAATCCCATTTGAAGAGATGCTGGAGAAAGCGTCTGAGATGTTGGCATTTATTCAAGGGTACATAGAGCACAGAGCAAAGCAGAACTGTCGCTTGGCAACTTGTTGCTGTACACTGCTCGTCAGCAGGCTAAAAGAAGGATTGCATACTTTCCTTATTTTTCTAAGAAAGATCAACTCAGCTGATTGGAGATATTTCCAGCCACATAAAACACGGACACCTGTAGCACAGAGCCACCGGTCCTGACATTGTTGTCCGACTAATATTGACTTCTCTCATTTAAGCAATAGACCTCATTTCAATTTGCAGAAGCAAATCTATTTGGACTAAAATAAATAAATAAATAAATAAATAAAGTTTACATTTAGACTTCTAAAAAGTATTTTAATGTTGAAAGATCTTTATTTTCAAAAGACATGTATTATAATTTTATAGAAGACATTAATGGTTTCTGAAAAACAGAAAGATAATGTCATGTTAGTGTGCGATAACCACTTTAAAATAAGTCAAAAGCAAAACTAGTCCATATCAGAATCAAAATGGTGTTTGTTTAAATAAAATTTGATGCAAGAAAAGCCTTTTATTTGAAATTTTCCTTTATGGATTGTAATGTTGTCGAACTGTCGCGATATTACTCACTTTCATTGAGCCGTGAGAAATCTCAGCCTGGCCCACGCCCTGATCAACCTCTCCTGTTTGTGCGTGTATCTCCCTGGATTTTTGCTTCTTCGTCTTACTCCATGCGATTTGCATAACAAGATATTCCTGAATGTAGCTTGAATACAGTAATCAGGGTTCTTCACCAATATTAGACAAATTGAGACATTTTATGCGTTTTCAAAGACGTCCGTGATGAGACCAAAAACAGCATTTAGTAAGGTGGTTTCAATTAACTCGTGTCAGACGTGAGAAAACACTCATTGCAAAATTACTGCGAAGTGGCATAATGATGCAAAAATCAGGCAGAGCTTGCTTTTAATACTGGAAACCCCTTGACGATGAGAGCATGTGAAACCAGCTGCCTCTGGAGATGAAGCCGCCCAAAAGGAGGGCAGACGTTAAAATTTACTGCCTCCCTTCTATATTTAGAGGGACTCTGAGTGGGCTGGAAAACGCACATTTCCGCTTTTAGCCAAACAGAGGTGCGGAGGTGCTGTCGGACAGACCTCACCTGAGTAAAGGCTGCCTAAGTGATGGAGAATGCCGGGGGCTTTTTTTCACTCTAAACCAGACACTTCCGTCCCACCCATTTTCTGCCAGGCCTTCGTCAACAAACATGGACTTGATTCAGTTTCTTTATGTTCTTTCTGTCCACTTGACAGGTGGTCTGTGAATGCGGGTACCTGGGAAAGCAGCAGACGGCAAAACTTATGAAAGGAAATGTGAAACTCAGACCTGCATAAGAGCCGAGTATTATTGCCATCTGTTTAATAGAAAAATACTTCAGAAATGCTTAGCTGTGGCTGGAGCTTCGTAGAAACCTGACCTCGTTTTTTTTGGTTCGTTCCTGCTATTCTGGTGTAAAGAAACAATTTTAATCGTTAATTTTTTTTTCTTTTTATTTATGTTTCTGTAGGCAAACTGCTACTACCATGGAAAGGTGGAGGGCCACATGGAGTCAGATGTCAGTCTCAGTACTTGTGCTGGGATTAGGTAAGTTTCTCTTTTAATATTATCGTAGTCAGTGTTGCTTCAGCCACGCCGTACCCCCACATTAAGTTACATGCAGTTGTACATTAAAGTTTACAACTTCAAACTGTAATGTGGTTTATTGGTACTTTATGTGAAAGACCGACACAGTGCAGAACTGTGAAGCTGATGGAAAAACACAGTATGATGTTCAATATTTGAAAAGCCTGCGGCATTGTATTTATTGTGTATGTTTTTAACCCTGTATATTCTGATTCACTTCAATGAAACACCAATATCTATGACTTCCACTGAAATTCAAAACTGTTGAAGGTTACTCATCGCATTGCATGCCTATCAACGTCTTCAGATTAACCTTCAACATATCATAAGCCCTCAGACATTTTTCTGCCTTTGTATTCAAACATATTCTTAAAAACACTTCTGAAAGAAACTTGTATTTGCTTTATGTTAAAAAAAAAAAAGTGTTGACACATTTTACGTTTTTACTTGAAAGTGTTCCAGTATTTGACCCCTGCCTGGATCAAGAAATGTTGTCTCGATAGGACCTTCCTGTTATTTTATAGATCCTTGTTCTTTCAGTAGCTGACGCTACTTACATGCATAGTTCTGCAATATTTCATGTGCTCTACTTAGACTTTTAGTGACAGTTGCCGCTTTTAACCACACAAATAAGGTGTTTTACATCCAAATTGCCGCAGATAATCTTTCGCAATAAACTCTGGAGATGAGAGTGTTTATGTAGTTGCAAAAATGACTGCGAGGTTCAAAACATGTGAAACGTTTCAGGTTTGGAAACTCTTTGTTTGCAGATGTCAAACTGCTGAAGTGATTGCTGCGATATTGTTGGAAAGCATCCGGAAGGTTTTCATAAATCAGCCAAAAGGTTCAAACCCTCTGCAGAGTGATTTAGCAGAGTTCAGATGAATTGCTGTTGACCTAATATTCATTTATTTTAGTTTCTGTGAAACCCGCTCAGTGACGGACCAACAAAACGCTTCTCGAGACAAAACTACACATAACTTGTCCCGCTCGTAGACACAAATGGGTTCCTAGTTTCGCGTTGGTAGCTGTTAGACTTCTGGGAGGGTATAAGTTCATTTGGTTCTTAAATATTGTGCAAGGTTCAAATTACTTTAAATTGTAAAAACTATGTGAGGAGAAATACTTAAAAGAAGAAAAAAAAAACTCGCTCTATCATTTAAAACACATAATGCCACTATATATGCTGCATATCAAAGGCAGTGTAATCAAGTTCCAGATTAATTATTGTTTCTCCACCACATAGTAACGATTTCTTTCACATCTATTTCTGAGTAATCAAGACCACAACCACATCAAGTTTAATTTGCCATTGTTCTGGTTTTATTGCGTGCATAATGCTTGCTGCACTCAAAGAAAGACAAAGAAGATGATTGTGAACTGTTAAAAGAGAGATGATAAACAAAACCTCCTAAAAGAGGGCCTGAGGAACAGAGGCTTTGACCAGGTATTGACTGATTTGAAATTCAAATGTCTGATTTTTGTTCTGATCAGTGGAGGCACTGTAAACCTAAATAGGTCACAGTGACGAGTCTTTTTAGTGTGACTGGAAGTCCATTTCTTTTCAGTGTCTTTATGTTTAAAAAGAAGTTGGAGGACGCGTAGATGCAAGAAGTTATTTTAGAAAAAAAAATTGTATTTCATACAACAAATGGAGATATGACTGTGGTTCATTCAGACAGCAGAGGAGCATGAAAAAAGCAGACTTCACCTGATAATAGGAAGGCTGAACAGTAGAGAGCATAGTTGTGTTCTTTTTATCTTTCAAACTTTCATTCTCTGTCTGTCTTGGAACATATTAGATTTGGAAATGCTCGCACTAAGGACATCTCAGCGGTAAGGTAATCATGTATGTTCTATAGCCTACATTACTGGTTCTTTCTGTACTCTCTGTAACACGTATCACACACATAGACACAAATATGACATTTCCAGACCTATGTTCTGACTTTTGTGGAAAAAAAAAAAAAAAACATATAACCCACATCTACACTGTAAAAAAACTGTAAAAAAAACTGGTAAATGTACCGTAGAAATTTGAAGGAATTTTTCCGTTTTTTAGTTTTACAGGTATTTCTACTGTATTTTCAATTTTACGCATTGCATCATGGGAACAAGAACCTTCGCGAAGCGCGAAAACTGGTCAGACGACATTTCAAGCTCCCTAGCCGGACCCTGCAACATATATCTTTTGGACTTCGGTTGGATTAAGAGTTGGAGTTGCCTTTCT